CTCGTGTTTATTACCACTCTAAGGCTTCGGCCTTCCCCAAAAGTTTATAAAATGTGGATTATGCATATGCCCCGTTAAAAAAATTTTTAGCAAACCATTTTGTTGGCGTAAAAGATTTATATTAAATCTAAAAAATAGTATGCATCTTAAAAAAAAAATTGCCCGAAGATATCGTATTTATTGAGATATATATTGCAATGTATATAATAATTATTAAAGTATTCTATTTATTGAGATATTATATTGTAATATTATATTTTATCACTTTCTTCTGAATCACACATTTGTGATATTTTTTGATATTTTAAAAATAGTGATGAAAAATTATAAAATGTGTGATATGTTTCAAAAAGAACGATTTAAAAAACAACAATTTAAAACAATTTAAAACAATTAAACAATTATGCGCGATTTCACTTTACGAAGAATGCAAAAAATATTTATTAAAGCCAATAATATTTTACTAAGCTTACTGAGCCTCGACGAGCCACATCTACCTTCACTGCCATGTCGTGACTAATTAAGCATCGCCCATCCAAATTTATTTGAAGCACTGCCGACCTTATCAACTTTATGCCTAAATTTTTTGTTGTTTTCTATGCCTTACTTAGCCGCAATTGTTTTTTTTCACTGCCACTGATCTCTTTTTTTTTTTTTTTTAATTAAAAAAAAAAACGATCGTAAATTTAGACCTATCTTTATTAAGCCTCTTAACAAAATTTGGAAATTTTTCATCGCCACGGATAACAAATATAAGATTCTTTCACTGCCATCCATCCATTATTATCATCATCGTTATTATTCATCTTTTTTCTCGAAAACATAATAATAAGATCCCAAGATTATTCGATCAAATAATTCAGCCATCATTTTTTTCACAGCCATATCTAGCCACATGACATGATCGATCGATATTTTTTTTTTTTCAACAATATAATTATTGTTATTTCAATAATAATAATAATAATAATAATAATAATAATTTTGCACGGCCACGCTTCGCATTTCTTTCGAAGATAAAAGATGAATTAGATTTGCTTGTTCAATCGGTAAGCGAAAGGTATCGCGAGGCTATGCAGAATAGATGTATTATATATATGTAAGAAATTTATGACAAATTTATAACAATCTCGTAATGATCGTGGCTAAATTGGCTTACACTATATTAATTGACTTCAGCCTAAAATCTGAGCCGATATTATTATTGTCCAAAAGGTGTGATCAAGTATTTTTTTGTAATGTAAATCATCTGAATTCGAGATTCCTCATGTGATCATTATATGAAATAACGAATTGAAGCGAGTAAGATTTTAATATCATAAAAAGAGTTAGTTAACATAAAAGTAATAACAAGAATTAATAACATTTGTAATTATAAAAGAATAAACAACATGCATAAACAATTGTAGAATTAGCATAAAACATTAACCAAATGCATAGCAATTTTTATAAAAGAATTAACAACATGTATAACAATTGTATAGAATTAACATAAAAGTAATAACATTAATAAAAATGCATAAAATTGTAATAAATTATTCTAATACTTTATATATAAGGATGTCCTTTTTCACCTTTCCAACTTTTATTAATTTTCATTTAAAATTTTGATAAATATTTAGTAATTCACATAGCAATTCTTTTTTCTTTATATATACTATACATATAATTAGAATGACTTGCACGACTTCTAGAGGTAGTAACAAATTTTGGAAAAATTATAAGCCTCGCCTCGAAGAGTAAAATGTCAGCATTTATCTGACGGGGAGGATTATGTCCAAAAATAGATAGAAATAACATTTATGCACCTATAATGATAAGACCTGACAAGAATAATGTTATAATATTTATTAGATATCTTAAGTCTTGGTTAAGCATATTTAATTAATTGCCAAAATCATATTAAAATAAATTTAACAAAAAAAAAAAAATTCAGAATGCTTTATACGACACGTTTATCTTAAACAATATAGTAAAAAATTTTAAAAAATTGATCCGAAATAACAATTTTGAATTTTGAAGCAGATAGCTGGAATATATTTTTAAAAAATAATTGAATATTGTAGGTAAATGCTGGTAAATTATTTACTTCTTTGGAAAATCTTATGCCACATCCAAGAGAGTATATATATATTTTTTTTTAATTTAATAAAAATTACAAAAATTACAAATAGAACTAATTTGAAATTATTTATAATAGGGTAAAAACCTACATATCTTTGATCTGATCCTTCAACATTCTTTTAAAATAAAGTATATACCTGAAATAAATTTCACAAGTCCTCAATATTGCAGATTTTTGAATGTAATTGTGATATAAATCAGCAATTCACAATAGTTATGAATTTTTTGTTTGAATATTCAAAATTTACAGATTTTTCTCTTCAAAATCATAGTTTTTTCATCTTGACTAAATGATACCTGTCACAATTTTTATGAAAGCTGCAATCTTTTTCATTTTCTTTTTGAATTGCAACAGGTATCATTAATTTTAATTAGATTATTTTTGATGAAATTGTCTTAGTGAACCATTTTGTCAATTTAAATTTTATTCTAAAATTTAAGTATAAACTTTAAATAATAACATTTCATCAACCAGTGATTCTATTTAAGCATTTCAACTCATCTTATCAAGATAAGTATTTTGATAATTGTTTCATTCAAACAAATAGATATTGATCAAGTTATTCTATCTTAAAGTTATTATTTAAATTTGTATACTTGTAGATTAATTGCATGCCAAAGAATTGTAAATTGGTTACAGACTTGTAGATTAAGCAAATACAGTGAACTTTTTATAAATGCACCCTAATGCTGATTCCTTGGGGTGCATTTATAGAGGGTTCACTGTAATTGCAAATGTTTGGATTGCAAAATATGCAATAGTTATGATATAGGTAATAAGTATATAATCTGCAATTCATAATTGAAGGTATTCATCTTTACTATCTATACCAATGTTTTTTTTGCAATCTCTTATTATATACTTAGTCTCCAATAGTATCTGATATTAATAAAACAACATTTGAAAACAATGTACAAGTTCTGGAGTAAAGTCTAAGTCTATAATCAATTTAGATTGTATTATGAGACTAATAGTATGGGTATAAGTATCTCTTTTACATCAGAATTAAAAGTTGATAATTGGATCTGTTAAGACTTGACCTATGTTATTGTATTTACATAGGTTAAATATTTATCAAAAATTTAATCATTCAAAATATGTTATAAAAAATTGTAAAAGAATTTTTTAAATAGAATAAAAATATACAGCTTAAAATCCGTCATTCTATACAGTCTTTTTTGTTTAGCATATACAATACTCCTTATGCTGTTTCTATCAGGTCAGGTGGTAGATAGGTTGCAGTGGATTAGACCGAGTCTCAGTCTATTAACAGTAATGTATAGTAATTCATGTAGCAATCTATGTACGTAATGCATTATTAATAAAGTCCCAAGACAAGGCTTTTCTGAAACTTAAAAGGAAACAATATACATTCTTTCATATGCCAGTTTACATAAATTTTTTAATGCTCACCAATTTTGACTTAAAAATTAAAAAAAAAAAATGCCAAGATTATGTTGGGGAATAATAAGGACTGACAGGATTTCTCAGTTATTGTTTCTTCTTCTCATGGACATGTCCCCAGGCCTATTAAACAACTTTTTCACAAGTTAAAATGAAGATGTGTCACTAAATTAGTTAACGAATTTCAACCCGTATTGTAAGCAATCTTTATTTTCCATTTTGATACCATTTTTGATGAACCTTATTATTTTTAATTATCTAATTATTTTTCTAGACACGCACATTTTAAATGTTTGAAAGGAGACAAACCTTGCATTCGCCTTGAAGGGATGCCAAGATTACAGAAATTTTTGGAATAAGATATAAGAAATATATGTAAAAATTTTTTTAGACATATGGAGGAACAAATTTGGAAGAAATTAAAACTAGTAGTAGTTCTCCGAGAATAATGACATTCCCACGAAGCTATGATCATCCCAATAGCACAAATAATATCGGGTCAATCCGTGATGACACAGTTTTATTAAATATTCCAACATAATTATCAACATGTATAATTATATTATTTCCTGCAGGAAACTGAACAAAACGAACATGGTCTTTGGTAATCTTTATTTAAAATTCGCACTTTTTTCAATTTTGAGTAACTTCGTCATTTATGAAGATTTCTTTGAGTAACATAGTAACATTAGAAACTTTTTTTTTGTGTCAAACAAAATTGGTTTATTTATTAATATTTGCCTTCTGTTAGTTAATTACCAGAATTAATGATCAAATCACTACCCTATATAGCGAAAAATAGAAAAAATTCCTATTGTATTATTGATTCAACAGTTTTTTTGACAATGGATAATGGAACGCCAACAATCCATATAAAGAAAATTCAAATGTCGACGAATCCTTTCAAGTTTCATTTATTTTTTTTTCTAGTCGAATGCGTGTAAATCTCGTAATATGATAATATGAAGGGGGAGAAGAAAAGAAAATTACTGAAAAAAAAAAATGAAAAAAAGTAAAAACCATATACAAAAGTGTGAATTTTTTTTTGTTGTTGAGAAATATAAAAAAAAAAGACTTATAAACATAATTTTATCGTAAGAAAAAATGCAAAAAAAAAAAAAATGGTAAATTGTCGAGTAGGGAAGATGATGAATATATACTATATATACAAAAAAAATTCCCCTTTTTTGTTTTTTTTATTTAAAAGAAACGCGTGAATTCTTTAATCTTAGAATATAAAAAGCTTATATGGTTTTCAGTTTGTTGTATTATAAAGGGGAGTAAAAAAAGTGTAATGTGAAAAATTTGTTTGTAAATAAAAAAAAAAAGTCCATTTTCTGTAAAACATAAAGGGGAAATAAAAAAAAAATATAGATTTCATAAAATAGTAAATAGGTAGAAAACAATTCTGAAACATTATATTATTATATTTTTTTTTCATATAATTCGAATAATTCCAATTCAATCACTATTATTTGGAAGGATCTTGATTTGTTGTTGCCGTTGTTGATGGCGGAATCGTTGTTACCAATCTTGTGTGAATAGTATTAATAGTAGTATTGTTATAATTTGTTATATTAGTAGACGCAGAATGCGGAGCTGCTTGTTGAAATTGATGTTGCATTGCTGAAAGAGCGCGTTTTCTTGTTATTTTTGCAAAGTCTATCATCCAAACAAATACAAATATTCACATAAATATACATGTTATAGATCAGATTATGCAATTCAGATAAATAAAATTAATGCTTACGAAGACCACAAGCATTGCACAAAGTTCTCGCTCCATCTGGACCTCTTCTCCATTCAGGAGTTTCAGATATGTTACATGAATGACATCTACCAGGAGGCGCAGCACGTTTCTAATAATGTAAAAAAATAAAAATTAATAAAAATTTTTAATTTATTTATTATATTAAATGAAATTAAGAAAAAATGATAGCTTACACTTCGTTTTCTGTATTTCGTACGTTGTTGAGAAATGCCATTTGTTGATCTCGGCTTTCGAGCTAGAACTATTTCTCCCACGTCAACTGGTGCATTCTGAAAGTAAACCAATTAAATTATTATTTAATCGCATGATTTTTATTAGGTAATAATAACAAATATTAAATAATAATATTACGCAACATACTTCAGCTGCAGTTCTAGAATTTAATTCTCCCTTTAAACCAATTAAAATATTTAATATATCGTATGTTCGATTAATCATATTTGTAATGTGAGATTCGCTGACGGGAGTCCACGAACTTTGATTGTTCATGCGAGAATCTCGATATTGAGTGGAAAATTGGGAAATTTGGTTACAATGATCGATCACCTTTTTATTTAATAATAATAAGGAAGAAAAGAATGAAAATTTTCAAATTATAAATATTATTAATTATTAAATATATTATTTATTTATTTATTTATTTAATTTTATTTACAAAAAATAAAATTTATAAATAATCTCGTAACAATATTACACAAAAATAATAAATACCTTTAACAATTTTGCCATTGCTTGTTCATTGGTTGAAAATGAGTTAGAATTAATATTTCCAAATTGTGAATAATCTGGAGGAGTGGGAGTGGAAAAATTAGTAGTAGCATTTACAAATCTCATCGCTTGTGAGGTAGGTGGTGGTGGTGGAGGCGCAGTATTTTCATAATGGTAAATTGGAGGTTTTGGGTGTGTAGAAGGTTGTGTAGAAGGTTGTATAGAAGGTTTTCGTGGTGAGTGTTGTTTAAACTGTTGCTGTTGTTGTTGTTGTTGCTGCTGCTGTTGTTGTTGCTGCTGCTGCTGTTGTTGTAGTTGACTCTGATCCATGCATGGAAAACCGGGAGAATTAGTGGGCCTTGACCATATTGAAGAGGAACAGGATGATGATGTTGATTGAGATGCTTGAAGTTGAGAATGTTGAGAAGAAGCAAAAGAATTCAAATTTTGTCCTTTAACGATCGGTTGTGTCAATAAAGATGGTTCTTGTGGTTTATTTGATTCATTATAAATTAATCTCGGACTATTACTGGATAATTGTTCATGATGATAATTGGAATATCCTTGATGTTGATGTTGATGTTGATGTTGATGTTGATGTTGATGTTGATGTTGATGTTGTTGGTGTTGTTGATGTTGTATATGTTGGTGTTGTTGATGTGAAGAATTATCTTCTAAATGATTAATTAAAGAAAAGCGAGAAGATCGGTGTGAATCAAAATATTGTTGAGGTTGGTTTGGTGTAATAGGCGTTGTATGATTATTATTAGCTGAATTCAGTGGTTTCGGAATAATTATGGGAGGAGGTAAAGGTGAATTATTTTGCATTTCAGGTAAGGAAGCAACGATTGAAGTTAATGGAGGAAGAAGTTGACCCCTTTTATCATTTGAGGGTTCCATGATTCTATTATAATTTTGGTTTTTTTCGAAAATTGATTTTTTTTTAAATTAATTAGCCAAGAAGATTTTATCGAAAAGATTTTAATAAAATTAATATTAGAATAATAACTTACGGTGGAGATGGTAAACTTCGAACAGAGGAAGAAAATCCTTTTCTTGAACCATCAAGTGGTGGCAAAGAACACATCGAACTTAAATCCATTTTAATTTTTATAATTTTTATACTATAAGATGTGTTACGGAGAGGATGATAGGAAAAATAGAAAATCATTTTAATATCATTTTATTTTGAATCGTTTATTTCGAATAAAAAGTACATACCGTTTTTTTTTTTTTTTATTATTCGCGAAATTCTATATATATATTAAATTCTAATCTTTTTATCGATATTATTTATAAACAAGAAATCACTATATTTTTGAATAGTATTCCGTTATTTTATAATTTTAAAAATTTCTCTATAAAAAGAAATAGAAAAAAAGAAAATATTATCTAGATTCTCTAGAGTTTTTCGAGTTCTACAAAAAAAAAAGGTCTAACGAGAAGAAAAACGAAGTATATATATAATTTTTATAATTTTCCAGCCAAGTACATTGGTGATAAAAAAAAAAATCGATGAAGAAATAAATTTTTAATAAAAAATGAGGAGGGAATTGAAAGGAATTGCTTGTATATTTATATACTTTAATTAAAGACTACACTATAATAGATAAATCGGGGATTCAAATATAATTATTTATTTGGATAGTGTTACTAAGTGCTATTGAGTGTAGTGTCACTGAATGGAATGTAAAAAATCTGAATATTTATTTATCAAAGATCAAACAAAAAAAAAAAAAAAAACTAACTTTAAATTGCGAAAATATTTGATGATGCGTGTTTTAACATGTCTAATGTATACAATGTATAATCCTGGTAACTTTATCTATATTGAAAAAAATATATTGTTGGTTGAATGTGAAAATTTGGCTAGGCTCGATGGAATTTTTTTTTTTAATATAAAATAATGTAATATATTTGACATATATATTAGAGTATAATATATAATGGGATATAATGAATAATATATAACGAGTAATTATAATGAATAAATAATATATATTGAATATATATGATACAACTGTTAAGGGTAGTTTATAAAAATAAATAAAAAGATAAACTACTGATAAACTATAAAAAGGCAAAGATAAAAAAAAAAAAATGTGAATGTATGTGTGATATATAAATGAATGATGTGAGACCAATCAGGATCAGCATGCAATTTTTGAGATCAAATAACTGATTTTAGATTGAGTTTTGGCTTAACATGCAAAGAAAATCATTTTTGTGTTACTAGTTGTAATCTGTTCCTTTTTTATTACTTTCGAAAGTCCCGATTTTTAATATTTCAATATAATTTATTCAGCGTATCTTATTTTATATTTTTTATGCTAACTAAATTTATCCTATGTTCGATTGTGTATTTGATTATAGTAAATATTTATATTAATAAAGATTATTGTGTGGCAGTGAAATGTGGCATTCAAGTGCTTAGCACAATTGACATTATCAATGGATTATTGAATTATTATTATGAATTATCAACGGATTATTATGAATTATTGATACGAATTATTGATATGAATTATCAATGAATTAATTTATTGAAATTATCGAATTATTATGTCATAATGAGATATCAGAGAATTCCTTATAGTGAACTTTATTTGCAAACCTTATTATTAGGAATTATCATTGTCGATAGTAATATTTTGAACTTACTTTGCAAATTGATTTGTGATTTGTGATTTGTGATAAGTTCTGATTATATGTGATTATTTGAAATTTTTGGTGATAACTAATAAAAGAATTGAAAAAAGACCAGATTTGTAAAATTTATAAATTTAGAAATTTTTATAAAAGTAAATAAAGCTATGTGATTTTTCATGCTTTTATATAAACACTATTAAATAATATTAAATATTTAAATATAAATATTAAAAAATCGCGAAAAATGATTGGCCCATTATTTGTCCAACAATCGATGTTCTAGACCGTTTTCCACACATTACCTAATAATGCATTTTGCTTATTCACCATTCGTCTAATCTAATAGGTAATAAAAAAAAATGCAGAATAATTTTCTTTTTAGCATGTAGAAAAAATACGATAGATAACAAATAGAGAACAAAATATATGGAGAAAAGAAACGGAGAACAGATTTATAGAAAAGAATAGAGAACAGATATTGAACTGATAAAAAAGATAAGAAAATAAAGAAAGTGAATGATAGAGAGAAGATATTATGTTATTGCTTATATATATACACAACAATGTATAGTTCGGATTCTTTAATTGATAAATGTTTATGCAATACTTTGCCATAATATCCCGAAATTCGTCTTGCCTAATTTATCTTCACCAATTAATTCACCTTTACGCATAAATAAATAAATTATATTTTAAAAAACTAAATTTATTTTTTTGTTTTATTTTGTTTATGATGATGATGATGATGATATGTAATTCACGAAAATTGAATAAATAACTCTAATACATTGTAGATTATTGATGTAAACTCTAATAAACATGAAAGCAAAAAACAATACATAATTGGAATATCGTATTATTCGTTTCGTGTTTTTATTTTGCATTACATATCATGCAGCGTATTAAATTTGTGAATACCATTTACTTTCATAAAATAACCATGAGGGTCAATCAAATACATATGTATTGCTAAATTATATATACTCTAAATTATTATTATTATTTACCACAACACAAACTATTCGAAGAACATCGACAACAACATCGAAACATCGAAACATCGAAACATCGACAACATTATTTATTAATTCTGAATTTCCCGGCCGAAAGTTATAAATATTGATTATTGTCATTACCATTAGTTATTATTAGTTACCATTATTTTGATTATTTGTTTCATTATTTATTTCATGATTTATAAGTTAATATTTAAATAGGCTCAGTTCATAGGTTTATATTAATAAATATATTTTCATAGGTTTATGTTGTCTTTATGTTATGTTGTCTTTATGTTATCATTTATCGTTTGTAGTCATCTTACGTTTTGTAGGGTGGTGAAAAAGTTCAATCATTAATGAAATTATTTACGACGACGAAATTGTTTACGCATAGATACCATTGTAAAAAATAATTTGTTATATTAACACGAATTCCCGTACGTTTAGATATGCATCACAAAAGAATTATTATTATTTTACCCGGAGTTGTACATACTAATAGCATTGACATTTGTGTCATGCATACTTGGGTATAGTATAATTAAAGTGATATAGTTTATTTATTGTTTAATTTGTAAAAACCTTGTTTACTAAACGCAAGATACATATCAAAATAGTTATGTAAAAAGAATAAATAAATAATAATATATAAATCTTCTTTGAAAAATATGGTAACATTTTAAATAAAATTTCACCATTAATATTTTGAAGAATTTATTTTGATAGGATAAATCCAAAAAAAAAATGCATTTCAATTTTTTTTTTTTTTTTTTTAAGGTTTTTTTATTATTCATTTTATTTTATTAAATATGATCCCTGTTAATATAGTCATGTTGTATGTAGAATTATTTATTAGTAGTAAAAAATAACAAAGGTAATAATAAAGAACGTTATTTTTGGTGATACACTATTAATGATGTTGCTTACGCATGAAATATGAATATATGTATATTTTATTTCGTGCTTAAATTATTATTTTCTTGGCATTTTTTTTTCTTGTAAATAATAATAAATACTTTTATTCATGATCGATTTTTTAAATGAACAATCTAATAAAATTAACACAGCTATATAGAAATTAAAATAGCTATGTAGTGTTATATTGCTCAAAAATTATCAAATAACAAACACTGATTAGATTATTGATCGGATTAATTTTATTGATAGGTATTTAGGCTATTTATTAGATTATTTGGTAGAATTCTAATTCGATAAAATAAAAAGGTGATAAAAAAGGTGATAAAAATAAGTGATAAAAGAAGTGATAAAAGGTGATAAAAGGTGATAGTGAAAGTTTATACAATAATTACTCAAAGGGGCAAAAATAAATTCTAATAAACTGACACGAGAATCATATGAGATAAATAATAAATAAACAATAAATCAATACCAAATTTGCTCAACATTTTTTGCTGCCAAAAATACCATTATCAAATCGCACCAAAGTAATTATTAGACAAATTTGGAAAGTGTTTGTTAGTCAAAATCTGATAACGTGTGTTTTAAGCGAAATTTTTTAACCTGATCTTTATTTATCTGACCTGATCTTTTTAGTCATTCATTATTACATTATAGTACATATAATGATCGAAAAAATGGTGATTTTAAAATTTACGAGAATGTAAATTCATTTAATGACAATAATGTAATTCATAATGACAATGATATAAATATTTAAAGAATTGTGGATTTTTAAATAGGATATTTATTGCCTTGATATATTTTATACAAAAATGGAATTTAACATTATTGAAATCCTATATTTAATATAGTCATAATATTCTCGCATACATAATAAAGTTATAACAAAGCGCATTATATATAATAAAGTATAAAGTATAATAAATTATAATAAAGTATAAAGTATAATAAATTATAATAAAGTATAATAAAGCATCAATTCATCTCTTTATTTAAATATTATAAATATTATATGTAAAGTAAATTATTTTTTTGCTTCACACGCTATCATCATACTATTTACTCATTTTATCATTATTTATCATTTTATCAATTTTTAATTGTCAGATAATCACGCACATTCGACACTTGTCCTAACATAGTTTAGATCTATAATAATTAATAATTTACAATTTATCGTCTAAAAATAATCTCCAGATTTCTAAAAATCGAGATCAAAAATCTTGTGTTAGAAAAAAAAATAAATATTTATGTCAATTTCCTAATTAAATAATTTTAAAAAGTTGATCATATAAACAATAGTATCAAATGATACACTATTACTATTAAAGAAATAAATAGCAAAAAATAGTTCTAAGGGGAAAACAACACAAGTTTTAAAACACGATTCATTTATTTAACATCAAACAATATTATATTTTCAATTGATAATACCATATTGTGCAAGAAGAGGTTATTTGCAAATAATTGCAAGTAAATGAGAATATAAATTGATAATTTCTCTCCGATTTATTTTTCTCTTTTATCTTATTGT